TTTTTAAATTATAAATCTGAATAAATATTGCGATGTATATAGATATGTACCATATGGTAGCTTTCAAAAATTAAAAACTCACGCTGCTTATTTGAAGATTTTTTCATGAATTATTTCATATTAAATTATTGTCATTTTAACTTGTACAGATCGAATGTTCTAAATTTTTTATTTCACATCCAACATTTATTGACTTCGATTATATTCTACTTAATAACTATATACAATTTGAAATAAATATATAATAATCGGTCCGCATTGGCAGGCGTAAGCTATTCAAGGCAACTTCCTAATTGGACATATGAATACATACTAAGAGGCGATCACATCGATCCATAAAAATATGACGTTTTAGATATTTAAAAAACTTTCTTATTGCTTATTAATTTATCTCCAGTTATAGGCAAAGACTAGTTCAGTACATTTTTCGTATCTGTTTGTCAATCGATTTTCTGTTTTTGATTGTTTAGTAGCTATCATGGATGACAAATAAAGTAGCTATTAACGAGCTATAGTGTTACCAATAAAAAAAATTTGGAGACAGTTTCTTTAATATAGACATAAGCCCATTTGGCTATTTGTAAAAAATATAATTAAACCGTGGTTTTTAATAACACGTCAAGTTCTTTTTCAACCATACATGCATATTGTATAATATAATAAAACATTTACAATTAAAAACAGATTCAAACATATGTATTATAATTATAGATCAAAAAAGTACTAGATACACAATCGGCGACAAAAAATGTCTTCACCGAAAGAGCGCTCATTTGAACTTTTTAGTGCGCTTTTATTTTTTATTTTTTTTGTGAAAACAACTGTCAGACATTGCAATTAAGGTTCAATTTTCATTGTTGTACATTTATTTCAACTAGAATAATTACCTAAATTCAACTGGTCATAGTTTTAACAGAACTTTTGCATAGGAGATGATTATAATATAAATATTTGTATATGTAAATTCTACGTTAGAATTTTCACTAATGTTTATGGTGTTAAATTTCGACCCATTTGAGTATTTTTACATAAGAAAGGTTTTTACGCCATCATTTTTCTGTAATTTACCACTAGGTAGTGTTGCAATACATCTACTTCTATACTTTTGACCTATTGCCATAAAAATATAACATATCAATTATAATATATATGTTTGAGTACAGAAAATATTTATGCGTTATTAGAGCCATGGATAAAGTCTTTTAGAATATATAATAATATCTTCCGAACCGTTTTCGGTTACGGCGGCCAATCTCATTGACACTAGCCAACTGCGCAAGAGATATTATAGTGCACAAGTGTATACTCAGACACAATGTACACCCTCTATTAGACACGACCGCTAATAGATTGGATACAGGATCGACAGTTTCACGTGCTCTCTGAGCCATCTTCCCAACTCTTTACGGTTACTACTGAGTATTTATTTACCACCGGTTCTTTTCAGCAAAACTGCCTTTCAAGCCGGTGGTAGCTTCCTCACGGTCTGACTACACTGAATCTTTAAATTAATCGATTACTCAAAATTGCTTGTATAACTCTAACTAAATAAAATTAATTTTCATTTATTCATTTCATTATGATCATAATAGAAAAAATCGGTAGCAATTTGGCTCAACCTGGGCCTCAAACCTAGGACTTCACGATCTAAAGTCGTTTATGCTAGCCAGTAGATCAACGAGGCTGTTTAGATTTCAGGAATATATTTTTGATTATCTTTAACAAATTTCACAGGTTTGAATGTTACTAGAACTATAACAACGGATTTAACAGTTTTTTTGTATTTTCGATACAATGTAATCGCCTCAAATGAAACTTCTCGCTTATAATTAAACACACATACGAGAAAATATTACAATTAAATACAAGCAATCTAATATAATTGTACGGAAAGTAGAATAGCTTTAACAATTCATACAAGTTAAGCCCAAATAAAAAATAAATACATACAAAAATTAATTAGCACATTTACATTTTGTTTTAACATTTACTAAAATTTATTTTAGAGTTTATTTAAAGGCTTAAGAAAAAATGATTGCATTTACCCCCTTTCGTAACATCCCAGGGGTAGGCCTCTTTTCAACACGAGAGGGCCTCAAGTGGTCCGGGTTGGCGGATTTCATATCTTTTCGTCTTTCGAAAACTATTTAGAAGGAATAAGTATGTGATATAAGTAAAGTTCTTATTTCAACATTCCGTGAATAACAGATAAAAATAAACTCTAGTATAGAATAGAATATAACATGTAGTATAACTGAGTAGAAATAAAGTAATAACTTTTGATACATATATATTATACGTATACGTATACGTAAAGGCTTATTGTATGAGTGATGTAAATCATTAACATAATTATAATATATAGAGTTTTAATATAATATGTCTGTAGTTTGAATTAAATAACATTAGTTAACTAGTATAATTATATATATATATATATATATATATATATATATATATATATATATATATATAATACTTGTTAAATATTAAACAATTAACATTTACAACTGTATAATAAAAGGGCTTAGACAATATATGGAAATGACATATTTTGATTCTATAACTAATAACTAATATTGTTAATGTATGTGTGAGATTATTTCATTCCCACGGGAAAATACATTATAACCTAACCTAGGGACGAATCTGATCAAAACAAGGGTGAGCCCATAGTTACAAAATAATTAAAAAAAATGTTTTTCAACGATTGTAGAAATCTTGTCTAAACCCATTTGGCTATTTGTAAAAAATGTAGTTAAACCGTAGTCTTTAATAACATGTGCAAGTTCCTTTTCAACCATAGATGCATATTGCATAATATAATAAAACATTTACAATTAATAACAGATTGAAACATATTCATAGATCAAAAAAAGTACTAGATACACAATCAGCAACAAAAAACGTCCTCACCGAATGAGCGCTCATTTGAACTTTTTAGTGCGCGTTTATTTTTATTTTTTTGCGAAAACAACTGTTAGCAACTGCAATTAAGGTTCAATTTTCATTGTTGTATATTTATTTCAACTAGAATAATAACCTAAGCACAATTGGTAACAGTTTTAAGAGAACTTTTGCATGGGATTGCGTATCTAGTACTTTTTTGATCTATGATTATAATGTATAGATAAAACAAAATATAGTTAAAAACAACTTTTAAGCTTTGACACTTCACAATTTCACACCATTATTATTAACAAATATCCCTAATTATTCTATGAAAAGTCAAAAAAAATTGTTATACTAAATTATACACAGGTATTTACTACAGATTCATAATAAATCGAAATATGGCGTAATACCTAGTCTAAATAAATAGGATTTAAGTACATTAGATCTAGCGATATGAATCAAATGAAGTAGAACAGCTAGAAGTGTGGAGTCAATTATTTTTCATATGGAAAAAATGGCTTTCTATAGCCATGCCATAAACATTTTATTTTTTCTTTTAGACTTCTCAAACTTTGACTACAGTGTATTTGACACAGCCCTATGTTACGTTATAGCAGATTGGACCGAGGGAGCAACCCCATGATTGTTGTGGTCTGCTTCGGCAGACCTGCCGTCGGGGCGTCGTAGTTGAATGCGTAAGCGATCCTGCGACGCCCCAATATGACGAGGTTCCGTTGGGTTTTAGTGAGTAGTACAGGCTTTGAACTTGAGTCCTATATAACCTGTATACATTACAGGTAGTATACGTAAATGCATATTCCAATGTTAAAAAAAAGACCTATGCTACGCTAGAACGTATGTTCATATAAAAAACTTTTCTTCAATAATCGAACCTATGACCGTGACGTCGTCAGTACCGGTAGCTCCTATTCAAACGATATTTTCGATTATCTCAATATATAGACACATTCTACTTCATTTTATTCATAGAAATCGACCGTTATGTATATAGGATCTATGTATGTATGTATATTTAATTATTGTCTTAACATTATTGTCATATATTAATAGGTAAAAAAGCTCGTTAAAATGTTTTTGAAGTTAATTATTTAATCACGATAAAATTAAGCTGATTTTCAATTTTTAAGGCCATTTTTTTTTTAATTTATTGTCATTTGTCATTTATTCAATTCAATTATTATAAAGTTTTGTTATAATTATCAGCTTATAATTCAATTGGAGATAATTTTATCGTGATTATCGCTAAAGATTACATCTTAAGAGTATTTAAGAAAATTGAGAAATATAAGTTTTCTATTTATAATATAATATAATGGGAGACGATTTAAGTAGACGTAAATAATGGACCTTTATATAATAAGAATGTAGAATGTATGGTCAGTTTGCATGAATTGGAAAAAATATTTATCATATCAAAAAAATTGAATTCAAACTCGCTTATATAGTGACTTTTATTTTAAAATTGTAGATAATCGAAACTAGTGATCATTTCCAAAATTAGACAAATAGAAAAAATACAATTAACTATTTTACAAAAATAAAGTTTTAAAAAAGATAACTAAAATATATGTATGCATTTACAATCTTTTTTCTACATACGAGTATGTCTAAATAGGAAAATAGTATTTATTTTTCATTCATGAATCTGACCATACAGTATTCTTTGAAAACATTAAACGTTAGTAAATAAAAATAATTCTAGATATGATTCAGGGGATATGCAATAAGGTATATTACTCCCTAAATACTACATTTAAAAAGGACCACGTTAAAATTTTGTCGATATTTCGTCATATTTATTAAGCACAGCCAAAACGTTCAAGCGGACTCGATTGTTGTTACTTGGTTATAGTACTGCGATATATTTACTTCGAATGTATGTATTATTTTTTATATTATTCCACAGGATTTTTTATAATAACATCAAACAGTTAACTTTAATTTCGTTATTTACTTAAATAGAATACCATATTTTAAATAACAATTAATTATTAGCAGAAAGTCATTTCTTGAAAAGATTAGATTTCAACATGTTTGCAAAAATACCCTCCAAGTAAATATATCGTTTAATCTAGATTGGCTTATCTTTTTGGGGACAGACTTTGAACGTAATTTGGATCCATTTCATCAAGATCACGACCTTTAGTTTCGGGTACGAAGCAAACCACAAAACAAAGCCCACCAACGCTTATAGACGCGTACAGCCAAAAAGCTCCATGCAATCCCAATGCTTGTTGAAAGTCCACGAAAGTTTTGACACCAACAAATGCGCATAGATAACTGAATGCTGTAGCCATTGCACTGCCAAAAGCTCTATATTCAAGAGGAAACAGTTCACCAATTAACAGCCAGGATATGGGACTCATGCCCAAAGAAAACGCAATCGTGAAAACCAATACGCATAGTAACGGGATCCAATCGTTTTGGCCGACTGTTTGATGAAACATCACATTCTGAATTCTTTGATTTCTATGAACCTCCTCATAATAAGCGTAGCTTCCAAAACCAGCTAATGCCATAGACATAAGAACTGAGCTTACAATCAATAGAGGAAGTCGACCAACAGTGTCAATGAGCAGACCAGATAGGCAAGATGCCAGTAATTGTACAAACGATACAGCTATAGCTGCTAAGTGTGGATTCATTCCGCCGAAAGTCTTTCTAAATATTGGAACAGCATAAAAAGAGAAGGCGTGAGCACCAGAAAAGCGTTGAAACATCATCAGCCCGCATGTAACTAGGATTGGTCCAAGAAGACGGTTCATTGTTCTAACATCGAAATAATTATTTGTTTGAATTTGTCTTTGACTAAAGTTCTTACTGGCTAAAACATTAGTTCTAATAGTGGCCAGTTCTTGAGCGACGTCAGAATTCGGTCCTCGTAGCCATAATAGGCTTTTGTAGGCTTCTTCATCTTTTCCAATAAGAACGAGATAGCTTGGTGTTTCTGGTATGTATAGTACTGTGCAGAAGAGAAGTAGTGGCGCAGCAGATATGCATAATGCTAATTGTTGCCAGTCGAGATAAGCACCGATAGTAAAGCTGAAGAGTACTCCGAGGTGTCCGACGACTTTCAGCACAGCACTAAGACATCCACGGATGTCTGGCACTGATATTTCACTGACGTAAACCTGAAACACGCAAATAAAATTCACTTAAAAATTGTGTGTTGTCTATGTTTTACATAAATAAATATAAATAAATATGTTGGGACATTAACACATAGCACCATCTAGTTCCATGGTAAGCTACGAGGCTCATATCATGGATACCAAATAGTAGATACACTACACATACACACACAAATACATACATATCATAAATATAAACACGCATAACTGGAGTACAAACATTCGTGCTCATCACACAAATGATTGCGCCCTGTGGGACTCAAACCCGCGACCGCTGACACAGCAAGTAGGGTCACTACAAACTGAGCCAAACGTGTCATATTACAAATGTACATATTACAAAAGTGTAGGTATGTTTTTAAACGAATTCTATTAACATTTAGCAAAAGATACCCGTAATAATTTACGTAGGAAATTACTTCCTTGCTTATCACAATTTGGGTAAGTTCATCAAAAGTTTACGATTCCCACAATAATATTGCAGCTGCCAACCTTGTTTGACTAATAAATAATAATCATGGCGTTAATAGAAAAGTTTTCCTTTGTAAAATCCTGAAATTAGTCTGCGTCGAGCCTTTGAATTTCAGAAATTCTTCGGTCAAAGTTTTTGGCTATGGACTTTATGTAGATTGTGTATACGTATTAGAATTTATAGGACGTAGCTTTTTCCGCTACTAAAAATACAATGCCGGCAAAGCAAAATTTATATTCCTAATATGGTATCACAATAACATTATATTTTATTGTTTCAATATTTCGCATGATTTGTTTTATAGTTTTTCTGATAGTATCGTTATTTTAAAAAGTCGCAAAATCGAAGAATTTCCAGATTTGATCTCAAAAGACAATCATATTAGCATATATATTATCTTATTCTACATCATACAGTTATCTTAATTGATATACAATTCCGCGATTTACATGGAGGAAGTAACTCGAAAAAGCGTATTTCTCATATAATTTAAACCATTAGAAACCAACTTAACATCTCTAATAAAACTTATTTAATACCGCCCTAGAGCAGAGCTTAAAGTTATGCGGGTATGAGTTACTCAAAAGTTCTTTTCTCAATGAAATAAACTAAATTTCACATCAAACCTCCACATGAATTCACTTCATGATTTTCGTTTTCCGATAAAATTATAAAAAGCTTACGTAATCTATACATATAATAAAATTGTAACCAAGCCGAATCTGTACATTAAATATTTTTTGAAAAATCTTATTGAAATAGACATTATTATCGATACAGAGTCCGAATCTATAGTTTTTAGAATTTTTGTCTGTCTGTCTGTCTGTCTGTCTGTCGGTCGGTCTGTCCGTCTGTCTGTCTGTTACCGCATCACAGAAAAACTACTGGACGGATTTTGATGAAATTAAGTATGGTGATAGCTGGTTATCCGGGTCAAGATATAGGATACTTTTTACAGCGGAAAAATATCTCATTTCTGAGAAAAAATATAAAAACTGCATTGTAAGAGTATACTAATATGTAAAACCTAAGAATTTACTTTTTGATCATCAGAACGCGGGAGGAGCCGCGGCCAATGCTAGTGTATCATATACTTTGTAGTGGAAAAGGTAAAAAACAATCGCTGAAAAATGTCAGAATACTCCATTTATATGCCCGAGCACAATGCAGAGCGTTGTACAAGGGCCTTTATAATATACTGAGCTGCCCACTAATAGGCTTTCAGTTCTTTTTACAAAATATAAAATACGTGATAGCATCTACTTATGTGTGAAAGTATGTTTTAGCGAGTGGATAATTTATTTTATTATCTTTACATACAAAAGTCACAATAAATTACATTTAGTGTTTCATTTTTTTTAATAATATTATACTCGTTTTCTTAGATTACAATCTAAGAGCGTTAAATCGACACTGAAATAAACTGAAAAGATCTAGAAACTTAGTAGACGTATAGAAAGGTATAGAAATTGCCACCTTGCAATGGGCGGTGTACCATGCGGGTTGCTCCTGGTACTTCTCTGATAGCAGAGTGGACCTTGGAGCAACCCCGTGGTTGTTGTGGTCTGCTTCGGCAGATCTGCCGTCGGGGCGTCGTGGTTGAGTGCGTAAGGGATTCTACGACGCCCTATTAAGACGGGGGAAGGTTTTGTTGGGTTTCAGTGAGTAGTACTGGCTTTTCCAGCCGGTGAGTTTCATATAACCACCTGTATTTCTGCTATACAGGTGGTATGCGTAAATACATTTCCCAACTTTAAAAAATAAAGATTCACATTACCCCACATTAAAGAGGAAAAAAAATAAAAAAGTCAAGAAACATATCTCTTTATACAAAAATTATGGTTATCATAACAATTGCCTCAACCTTGAAAAGAAGTTGATTTTTATTCAAAGAGAAAACGTCTTTACAGCTTTTAATACAAGTCTTAAAGTCCATTTTGCAGTTTAAAAGAAAAAGAAAAAAATCTCGTATACATTGTAATACTGTTCTCTTCATAAAGATTACAGTCGCTATTGTTAAGAAATTGTAATTTAATTTGGAGTTTGATTTAACTTTGTGACAAATAATAATGGAGCGTGAAATTGGGAGCTTTGTGTTTATGTTTATTATTACAGCTTTCAGTTAGTTAAATGGACTTTTTTAAATCGTAACTGTAAATGTGAGGGTTATGTACTATTAAGATCAGCTTGAAAAGCTCTGCATGAAAAAGGAAAAAGTAGAAGAATGTTGCAATAACTATGAATTGTTTGCAATAAGAGATTATAGAAAAAGAAGAAAAAGATAATAAAAAAAATTTGTCCCGAACATCTACTTCCAGATCTGACATCATTTTAACAGACTTTTTACAAAAAGACATACATAGCCTTCAAAAATTAAAATAAATGAAAACCTGGAAAAACCGAAAGCTCGACTTGCGTTATAGTAGCTAAAATAAATCTATACTAATATTATAAAGAGGTAATGTAAGAGAAGTAGTAACAGGTATAGTTTGTGAGTTTGTGACGTTGTAGGGGGTAATCTCTGGATCTACTGAACCGATTTGGATGAAATTTGGTAAGAAGATAGTTTGAGACCTTGGGAAGGACATAGGATATCTTTTACTTTTCATCCCGGAAATTATTTCTCAGGGGATGAAAAAGGGGATGAAAATTTGTATGGGGAATCAAGCTAGGGACGAACCGAGGGTGAGTCGCTAGTAATTGATGTATTGATTTGAGTAAAATAATAAAGATAGCCCACCTGTGACAACATAGTCAATATCGAACAGCAGAAGCCTCCCAAGAAAGCTGTGATGCACATCATCCGCACAGATGTTGCCAGCACGGTCAGCAACCAGGACAGACTGCATGGTGCTGCTGCGAGGGACAGTACACGTCGTCGACCGTGACGCATAGCTGCTCCACCCGCCATACCACCGAAAAGGGCACCTTAAAAGAGATAGTATAGGTATAATATTTTCTCTAGAAATTAAAAATAATAATAATAATTAATCTTATATTATGTTTTTATTTATTTAATTTATATTATAATAATATTCCTACATTCAATTATAAAAGTTGTTAAAATTATAATAAACTAGCGGCTCACCCTCGCTTCACTCGGGTTCGATTTGCTCCAGGCCTTTTATATTGATTTTTTTAATAGTACAAAACAATTTTCCAGTGATAACTTAGTATCAATCGAAAGTAAAAGGCTTGTAGAAAATACCATCATACGGTTAGGGGCCTTTTGAATCCACATTATAATATATTTCGTCTGGAAAAAGAGTGAGGGGCCCACCACGTAGATCGGGATCTTAGACTAGTACTGGTCAAGACTAATTTGACCTTAGTGGAACTCTAATGCCTGATTTCATCAACAACCCATAAGCTACCACCTACGTATGGGATCCCTAGCTTAAAAGTCGCCTAAACTAGCCCCTAAATTAAATATCGTTTTACGATCGTCTTTAAGCCCATATTTCGAGTACCTAAATTTAGGGGGCCTTTTAATATTTAGGTGACCCCTAACTATCGGTAAAACAGAAACTGCCCCCTAACAGCCCTAAACGTGCTTTGGGGATCCCTTAAACTTAGGTGACGTTGGTGATATCGGGCATAATTCATCTAAAGAAAGGGGGTATTTGTTGACTTGACGTATAATTTTCTATGATTCCTTTAGTTATTTGACGATTTTGCGATAAAATATCATACAATAAAACTAGTTTCGATATTTACGTCATGCATTAAACTATCTTCTTAAGGAAAACGTGTCTCTAACTGCATATAAAATTACAAAGGCTTGACGGACAATACATGTTATGTCTCTTTCTTATAAATAAGCAGAAAAGTGATAAATGAACACTATTTTAACCTATTATAAACCGTTCTAATATTTTTTTACTTGAATAATTCTCTATAGTAATTTATAGCATAACAATAGATGCGTTGGTGGTGTAATGGTCAGCATAGTTGCCTTCCAAGCAGTTGATCCGGGTTCGATTCCCGGCCAACGCACACTTTTTATATTTTTATTGTTTTTACCATACCTAATTTTAATTGGTAATTTTTGTAAAATTGGTACACATCAAAATATTAACACATCTACGAGTATATGTGTATATCTACCTCATATAGAAAACTCATCAAGTAAATGTGTATTATTTTTTATCGATTCATCTGTTATAGCTGTCCGCTTTTATCTCTCTTGTAAATAACTTTTTTTTAAATTAAGTAATAGGTCCTCAGTCGAAACTGGGGAAGACTAAGTATTTTTTATCCCGGAAGTAAAAGAAGTTTCTTGGAAGTTTCCAGAAGATAGGAGATAATAATATAATAATAATAATAACTTTATTCATAAATAAGGAAATTGACCATAGAACATAGTAATTTTTTACAATAAAGGCTTGCACAATTCAATTTCATACAGTTGGGTGAAGTACTGTACTCCTTGATAGGTTATAAATATAATCTGTATTAAGGAGATAGAAGAAGAAGTTCTACACCGACTATAAGGTACTTTCACTGGCAAATATTTTGTGTGACAGGCATAGTTTTCTTAGCATCGTATGTATAAGTAGCGACTCACCCTCGCTTCGCTCGGGTCCGTCCCTGGGTACATTTTCATTTTTTTGAGCGGAGCCCTAATTATTTTACTGAAAAAAAGTAGCTAAGTTACTCCTTATAACATGAACTACCTGCCAGTGAAAGTCCCGTAAAAATCGGCCCAGCCGTTTCGGAGATTAGCCGCAACAAACAGACAGACAGAAATTTTAAACATTATGTTTTTCTCATAAATATAGTATATAATTCCATATGCATTTAGTAAAAAGCTGTTACTTTGACATTACAAACAGACACTTTAATTTTATTTATCTGTATAGATAATAAGAGCAAGCGACGGGATAAGTTAGTAACAGATACGAGTATTACATGAATGTTGTTCAATCATATCTGATCACTTATCTATGTTATTAGCCTTAACTCTCACTGGTCGTGTCGAGCAGTCGTCCCACCAGAGTATGAGAGTGACAGGAATAGAGAGTGCACGTTGTGTCTGCGCGTACACTTGTGCACTATAATATCTCCTGCGCAGTTGGCTAGTCTCAATGAGATTGGCCGCCGTGGCCGGAATCGGTCAGGAGAACATCACATGTTATGATAACTATGCTGATAACTTACATTAATATTACTTGATACTACATGGGATAAGAAAACCAATTATAATATTGCAATATTGTTAACTAATATTAAGTATATTTGAAAATAGCAACTTTTGAGTTTTTTTGCCAGCTCTTCTCAGCGGAACAGCTTTCCGACCCTGTGGTAGATTCCACATGGACTTATATACTGACATTTAATTTAAATTTAAAATGTAAATTTGATGATCTCAAGGTACATGAAAAAGTCAATTAGAATAAAGTTTTTTTTTAATTTTGAAAAAAAAAACTGATTGCAATCAGATACTATGTATGACGTAAACGATCTTTATGTTCTGTAGCTGGATTATCTACTTAGTTCTTTAATATATGAAAAATGGTTAAATGTCTGAAATATTTCATAAGTTATAGGAAGTCCTTATTAAAACTAAGAGAATCATATCCACAAGGAACCATTTCATTTCAGGTATGTACTCTTCATCCCGAGGGATCAAAAGTGCCGATGCCGAAGCTTCCTCTCGCAATGAATACGATGAATCTCTTTAAATTAAGTTGGCTATTCAAAAGTGCTTGCTAAAGTTTAATTGAATAGTGCAGATTTTGATTTGATTTGAGTTATTTAAATAAGTAAAAATATTTTTTGTTAATATATGTTTAGACTAAGTAGATAATTTATGTTTGTCGCTTACGTATAGTGTAGATTCATGTACGTTGGTAAAATATTATGTTTATATGAGCTTTAATGTTAGAATAACGAGGTTATATATATTTAAATTTATAATATTACAATTTCTATTCCGTTTCAGCCAGCTTTATCTACTCTCCGAAGCTTGTGGACGAAACACTCTCAATTTCTCTATTCCGGAATTATTAATGTATATATGGGTTTTGTTGACATAAAACATTTATTACTTACAACTTTATTATTTGTTTTATTTCTAGCACGACTGACGACATATTCTATTTTTATATACTAAGCAAAGACAAGAGAGTAGGGTTGCCACTTGCCAGTTAAGCATAGAGAAAATCCTAACAGGAACACCGAGGAAAACCTATTAATTTTTTTATACTTCACCCGCCTTGGGGCTCAAACCCAGGACCTCCGGATACGCAATCGCAATGCAAGCCAATAAACTATTGAGACATTTTACAGTATTCTCGTAGATATAACATACCGAGAAAAGACAATGAAGCCAACCACGAAGCCTGTTGGTCGGTCAGCTGGAAATCCCTTCGAGTTGCATTCCCAGGTCCTTGCAGGGACGCGATGGCTGGTGAGCTGTAGCCTTTACCGAGACCTGCTGAGAAGGGTGCCAGTGACACCGCTAAAGCTGCTATAACCTGTAGGAAAAGAAGGATGGTATAAGGATTATTATGTTTGTTTCTTTATTCATAATACGGTTAAAGATAGATGTAAAGTAAAGATAAACCTCAGACTAAAGAATTATAACATAACACGTCAAAGAATATCAAAGTTAAAAAAAGTAGCGTGATCTGCTGTTTATGTTACTATTCATATTTATTTTTCATTATATTGATTTTGCCACGCAGATCGCTTACTTTTTTAAAGAAAAAGGAAAATTTTATAGAGGTACAAATATTAGTCCTTTATTTACAATTTTTGAGAAGGCAATATTATGCATAATGAAAATTATACTATATTCTTATGTATTTAGATTCTTATGAAGCTATCTCAAGGGGAATGTAGCATTAGTTACATTCCCCTTGAGATAGCTCCTTTCTATTTAAAATAAAATAAAATTCGTTATTTTTATTTATTAAAATATATTTACTTATCACAGTAATGAGTATCCTATTAATATTTGTATGCTATTTCAAATATTATTGATACCACATGATTTTCTTGATCAAAGCTACGCCAGTTATTGAATGAATCTAAACTAATATTACAAAGAAAAGATTTGATATTTTGTTTGTTTGTACCGAATAGGCACCGAAACTAATAAACCGATTTAGATTAAATTTGCTAAGAAGATAGTTTGAGACCCTGGGAAGGACACAAGATAGTTTTTATCCCGGAAATCATCCCTTAAAAGGGTGAAAATGGGGATGAAAGTTTGAATGGGGAATCAACATAGGGACGAACGCGAGGAAGCGAGGGTGAATCGCTAGTCTGTGATATAATAGAAAAAAATCTTCAACCCGGGCTAATACCGAATATTTTATGACAGAATTGACCCGATTTGGACCGATTGGGGACTCGAATCCGAGATTACTCGATCTACATTCGTACATGCTAACTACTACACCAGCGAGGTAGCCAAAATGCGATATACGATGTAGGAGATAATTCGGAGCCACATATTCTTCTAGCGTCGACGGCAAGCTCTATATTATTATAATATACAAACTGAAATATTTTCTTAAGCAAACACATAAAGAGTGTGTTTTCTTAATATCACCAAACAAAGACAGCAATTTTCTCAGCGTTAAAAATACTTTCAGCATCACGTACGACGCTACGGTGGGGTGCTTGAAATAAAAAAATATTGAGAATATCTTTAAAGAGCGATGGCCGATGGTAAAGTGTTGAGTGCTTTGTGTATATGAAATACGAATCTTAATTCACGTGGATGTATAGTGTGTATACGTCTGCCTAATCTATATTAATGCCTTTATTAATTTTACAAATAATGGCAGTCAAATAGTGGGTGTAAGTACTAAGTAGATGTAAAAGTCTTCGGCTTATGGAAATCAGCAGATTTATATTGGATTGCATACTTTTCAACCAAAAGCACTAAAAAGTAACAAATAACTGATTGGTAGTTTTCATTTACTACACATACCTAATCAAATATTTTCGAAGTCGGTGTGCATTGGCTAAGTAATTAAAGCTTACCTATTAAATACATACCTAATCAAATATTGTCGAAATCGGTGCTAGCCAATACAAAGCAAAGCACGCCGACTTCGAAAATATTTGATTCGGTATGTGTAGTAAATGAAAACTACCAATCAGTTATTTTTTACTTTTTAGTGCTTTTGTTTGAAGTCGGTTTTTATTTTTTTGTTAAAAAGTTTTTATTAGCATATAATTAGCCCCCACACCTTAATCTGATGCGCTCAAGATAACTTTAGACGCTCGACTCTATACCGAGGATTTATATATGATAGAGATACTTGTAGTGGCAGTGCTGACGCGCACATTTTGATTATATAGCATTTGTATCGCGCCACGAACCCCAGTTGTCCTGTAACCGCCTACCGATTGTCAATTATATTTTGCTAGGGATATTGTAGCTAACTTAAGGTGAATATAATAAATATATGTAACTTTAGACGTTTGATTATCCCTCTGGGCCTCTGCATACTTTACTATAGTGAAACACACATTATTCACCCACACACACTAAATACTCAACAGAGTGCAAGGTATTCCCCCTTATGTTAATCTGCCGCGATTGAATAAATCCTAAAATCTTCTCTTGGGCTCCCCTACTATATTACCTTCATTCGACCACTCGGCGAACACCAGCAATAGTACAATAGTAAAACTACAACTTTGACTGAACTAATATAATAATATAATTTTATAAGTAATTTTATAAGTATAACTGTTTCAAATTATAAATACTAATAATTATTTTTATTGTACATATTATTCTAATTTTAACATTAATTTATATTATCATTATTTAATTATAGTAGTTAATATGTGTAATTCTTGAATTTAATTTCATCTATTATAAATATTTATTAGAAATTGTATTTAACATTTTATATATTATTGTTTTAAAACCGGAAATGTTATTAATGCTGTGTATGCCTATAATTAATGCTTGTACTAGAATATGTAATCTTATAATATAATAATTCAGAATGTAGGTACAATGTATTGTTGGCATATCTTTCAAATAAATAAATAAATAGATAAAATTCACGCAGGCAACATCGTAGGCAAATCTATATCATGTAAGTGCATTCGACCAGATGTCTGAAAAATTAAGAAGTAAATTTTTATTATATTAAATGAGTACTAATTCGCTTAGTCGAGGTGACGAACAAATTCTCGCCTTGAGTGAGATTACAGCAACACTTCTCTGCTGAAAAATGTCGACTATTTTTGGCCAAATAAGCAAGAGTTTCGCATATTTTTATAATGAAAGAAAATCCTTGGAAAAAAAAAATCTATTAAATACAAAAAATGTTATAATATATATATATATATATATATATATTATAATAATACTGTTGTGAAGTTATATGTTTTTAGAGTTGCTAGAACTGATAAAACCAACCTTTTCAAAGATTTCATACGTCGATCTTACAGCTTTTATTTCTTAAACTTCAAAATAAAAAATAAAATAAAAAGAAAAGTCCATAATGTCGTACAATAAATTTTCAATTATGTTAACTCTACTAATATTATAAAGAGGCAGAGTTTGTTTGTCTGTCTGTCTGTCTGTCCGTTCGCAGGCGATTTTACTGAGATTACAGTTCGATATAGATAATTATTACTATCTATACTCTTTTTTATTAAGATTAATGTTATTCTGAGCTTTATTTCTAGATCTAGCTGTATATCTATTACAACATACAAATATATTATATAGAAACAAACTTTCGCAATTATAATAAGAGTATGATAAAATTAGACGACACGTTTGGCTCAGTTTGTTGTGACCCTATTTGCTGTGCCAGCGGTTGCGGGTTCGAGTCCCGCTGGGGGCTTTCATTTGTGTGATGAGCACGAATGTTTTTACTCCAATCATGGGTGTTTATATTTATAATATGTAGTGTATCAACTATCTGGTATCCATAACACAAGCCTCGTAGCTTACCATAGAACTAGATGGTGCTGTGTTAAAGTTCCAACATATTTATTTTAATTTCAAAGGAAAATTATCACAATGTTATTTTAATTAAAAATTACATAACCATTCTTCCAGAAACATTAAAATACATTTAGTTAAACTAAAATTTGGCAACACCACCGCCCTTGAAATAGGAATTCTGTAATTAATGCGCAACCCTTAACTTTTAGCGTTTAATACAACATCATTTGTTTGAAACGGCTTCTGAATAATTAAAAAGTTCACTTTTAAACCCGTTTACAAAATTCAATCCAAAATTTAATCTTAATTCGACATTGTTTTAAGGTCTTTGATAATATAAACGGAGCACGTACGAAAGTCGTCATCCATTGAATGCAAGGTTAGTGAAAAGCTTTTTGAACTATACTTCAATCAATACAGCCGTTCTCTACAACAAACAAACAGACAGACAATGATAGAGACTATGGTAGACTTTTTAAATACATCTTAAAACTCACCTACAAGTAAAAACGAGCTAAAATCACTACTAGTACTTAGTGAGAGATGATTTCTCCCATTTATTTTTTAATTTATATGATGATGAGTCTGTTTTCGTGGTGTATTTTATGTATTTAAAAAGAATATTATATTCTTTATTGCACAAAAAAAAGTAGTCATAAAAAAAAAGAATCATAAAGTTCAGTTTATAAATTCAAAGATATTGAGTAATATGCTCGCTTCGCTAGTTTCATATACTTCAATAACAATAGCCTATGTGTTACTTGTCATAGTAATAATCATAATAATAATCTATCCAAGTACAAAATTTCATCCAAATCCGTCCAGCAATTCAGCATGTAGCAACACACACAGACTCACATTTTATACTACTACATAGTTTGGATATCCCAAAATTTTGTAAATAAATGCGAAATGCCTATAAACTGAGTTAAAAACTAGAAAATAAATAATATATTACATAAATAATAATATATAGTATATTTGTATTTTGTAGCGCTGCGTTTTTTGTGGATGCAAGCATAAAAAAGGGTTGGTAAAACCTCAACATTTTACTGCGAATATCGGGCCCTTCTGTGCCCTTAATACTTCGGGAAGGCATCTTTTATAATGAAAGCTGCATTTTTGAGAAATCAATTATATTTATGTGGAAAATATTAATTTTACAGTAAGCCGATTAGACAAATTAATTTTTCATATCGAACATCGCTATGGAAACCTAAAATACGGGATTGAGATATTCTGCTTTAACACTTCATCTCTTCATCTATCTATACATAAAATAAAATTGTAACTTAGCCGAATCTGTACATTAAATATTTTTTGGAAAATCTTATTGAAATAGACATTATTATCGATACAGAGGCCGAATCTATAGTTTTTAGAATTTTTGTCTGTTTGTCTGTCTGTCTGTGACCGTATCACGGTAAAACCACTGGAAGGATTTTGATGAAATTTTGTACAGTTAATATGTACCAAGGGACGAACCCGGAGCGAAAGTGAGTCGCTAGTATATAATTAATTTACATTTTTTTAATTTTATATCTA